AAAAGGTGATTAATTTTCAGTAAATTGAATCTTTTAATGGCTAATTTGATGTGACCAAATTATTAGTTTTGTAATATTATTTCAAATTTTGTGTATAATTGAACAAAGTTAGCGTAAAGTGGCGGTGAAGTCCTGATACATTTAGGGTGAATCATGACCGTCCATTGGTTGATGATAAATGAAGGGTCAAACGCGTGGTGTGGGTCAACGTGATTTGAAAGGGCTTGATGGTGTTTGGAAGTGGTGAAAGAGACGAAACCGGAGAGGACATTCACAAAACGCACATTAATGACTTTGCTTTTCCCAAAACGACATCCACGTAATTCAATGCACTCGATCTGCAAAATTAAAAAATAGAAAGAAAAAATTTAAAATTGAAGTTGTGGAATCTGACAAGAAAACGACAAATTGCTTTCGACGTTTCGTAAGACTAACCTTACTCTTTATGATAGCTCACTGTCACCGCGCAGTTACCTATGTCTTGGTATGGTAAAATATTTTTCTATTTTAAAAATTAAATTAAATATTAATTAAAGTATAAGTCTTATAATAAAGTTTAATTTTTTTTTTTGTAAATTTTGACATAGTAAACTTAAAAAGAATTAAAATGTCATGGTTTAAATCACTTCTTTGGATTGTTATTTTGTATACATTCAAATTATTTAGATTGATATATAGTTTCAATGATTAAACATAAACACATTAGTTTTTTGGTCTATAATAAAAATATTTTGTTGGAATATTAGTGCATATGTAAGAACAAGAATGGTGCATTTGTTTTGGTTTGGATAAAGGATATTGATTGGGTGAAGGTTGTGTTTGGCAAGTGATGTTGAAATTTGAATGCTAAAGTTGAAAGTTTGTTTATAGTGGTAAACATCTTTCAAGGGAATGGAATAAATACTTTCATGTTATTATCTATTGTCACTTTAATCATAGTTATTTTTTCCTTCGTATTAGCTTTTGTATAAAGTATTTAAACTTATTCTAACCACGTTCAAGATGAGAAAAATGGATATCGTGTTTTTTTAAATTATTATTTAAGAATATTTACTTTCTTCAGAAATTATTTTAAAGTAGTCTTTTATTAACATAACCTAAAACTGTAAAAATGGATTAAAACTTATAAATTAATTTAGCTTATCACAAATTTGAATTAGACTGAGTTAAAAAAAATTGAAAATTTTGACACAAACAAAAAAGAATTTGAAATACTAATAATTCGACTTATCTAAATTGAATAAGTGATGAGTGTATTAATTCACCTATAAATTCTAAATATTAAATTATGTTAAAAGAAATCTTAAATGCTTTTATATATCTAATTGAGGTTTATTTAGAATATATTGTACACATTCGTATTTGAATTTTTATTCAGATTTTAATTATTTTTTTCCAATTTTTATTGGAATTGAAGAAAAAAATGTAATTAACTGAATCAATCCATTTAATTTATCAATATGTTGTAAACTAGATCGAATTAGACGGAGTGATTTTTTTCACATTTCTAATACAAATAATTTTTTATTTTTCTAAAAGACATATTATAACTTTTTAAAAAAATAAATCAAAATGAATAAATATTTTTTCTATTTCATTGTAATTTGAGAGGAATATGTTTCCTGAACTCAATTTAATGAAATTTTAAAACCCTTCATGTAAGAAACTCATTGCTTGCTATCTAATCAACTCAATCATTTTTCTCATTTGTCTATTTCAAAATATTTTAGAACCAACAAAAAATTACACCTTAACTTGTATTTATTTAACTAACTGAAAGGTCAGTGAGGTGAGTATTAAGAAATTATCAATAAATGAAAAAAGAAGTGAAAAGAGGAAAAAATATAATTTAAACATTAAAATTCATTGTAAATTCTATGACTTCTTGTTATTTTATTAACAAGGCATACTATGAAATATAAATACAATTTCAGATTTAGTTATTATAAGGATTTAGTTAAATTTTTTAAAAATGTCTAATTAAGTCATAAAATGTATATATCTATATGAAACAAGTGAATCAAATTTCAAATATATTATTTAAAAAGTGGCATAGGCTATGTAAAGTTTAATCTAGGTGGGTTATATAATCTTAAAATACGAGTTAATTAAGCAACTAAACTCTATATTTCAAACCTAACTACAAATAGCATCAACTGCTCCACCATTAGGAACTGCATTTAAAAAAAAAGTTGTTGAACAGTTATAGTAATATATGAGTTGTAAGATTTTATTTTTTAGGTTTATAAAATATATGTTTGCAGTTGGTTTTTTAAAAACTGGAAATAGATATAAAATATTTTATTATTCATTCATTACAAAACTACATCTCTATAAATTATATATATTTTTTAATTCTATCTTAGTTTTCAATTGATTATTTATTATTTTAATTAAGCTGTACTTTGATTAGACAGGAAAAATAGAAACCAAATTTTAATAAGTCGAATAACATATTTATATCAAAATTATTGTTCAAACTAAAATAAGAAAGGAGGATTTTCTTATTTGAAATTTTCGTTGCTTAAAGGACAACTAATTATTTGACGAAGATTTAATAACTTAATGTAATTTTTGAAAGGTTATAGCCTTGCATTCCAGCTTCTTGTTTTTTTTAAGGTTTTCTTTGCTTCTTCCGAATCCTCCTTTGAGAGTTCTTTAAAATCTTTTTTGACAATTTCGTTAACTTCTTGAAAGTTGAGGATAATGTCTATCTTCAACACCAATCATCGTAGTTCTTTCCATCGAACACCTACAAGCTACTCTGAATTATCTCCACCATCGCTTCTTAACGTGAACCTTTCTCCAATTAACGAGTTCTTGATGTTTCGAAGTTACACTAGGTGATCGAACTTGTCGTTCTGATACCAGCGTGAGATATGATAACAAACAACAAGATGATGATGTGAGAGTTTTTAGAGTGGCAGAAAGGAGATGAGATATGCATAATTAAAAATAGAGTGCAAGATAAGAGAACTGAGATATTCTCATTAGAAGAAGTGTTACCTTCTATAGGCTTTGTACACGAGTATAAGAGATAAAACTAACATAACAGAGTTTTTGGATTACACACCATATATATCAAATTATACTATTTAGGTTACGGAGTAATATTTGAATGATGATCTCTTACATTCACATTTCTAAAATAATATAGATACTCAAATAATAAATTAAATTAACTCTCTAAACTATTAATTTTTAACCACATGAAGTATCATTCGAGGTGTTGATGGTCTTTGAATGGTTTGCCACTAATTTTTGAAAATAAATTAATTTATGTATAGAAATAATAACAATATTAATTTAAAAGTTTATTATGAATAATAAGTATATAGATTAAGATGACAAAAATATTTGTGTTTATTCAAATAAAAATTTTAATACCTGTTTATAAATTAGATAAGTATAGATATCATACTATTGAGTATCTATAAAAAATAAAAATAAAAAAATTAATTTTTAATTTATATTATATTATATTATATATATATATATATATTAGTTTTATTATATTTTATTCAAAAATTTGTAAAATATATATATTTTTTTTAAATATTCACCATGTATTTTAAAACACGCAAATATATTTAAATGTATCCAACAAATAAAAAAACATGTAACAAATGAATTATTATTTTTAAAATAGAATCCCTTATTTTGAAACATTTTCTAAAAACAATTTTAACAAAATAATACTGTACTATCACTAAGATGAAGTATAAGTTTTAACACAGACTTAGATTTCAGCTTAAAATTAATTGATTTTATTTTAAGTGAAATTATCTAAGAAAAGTTTCTCTAAAAACTTAAAACACAAGATGTGAATGTTTACAAATGTGTCATGTAAATTATTAAGATATCATATTACTTTATACGTTTTTTTAACTGAAAATAATGTTGTATTATTTTAATTCTTTCAGTTTTAGTCTTAAAATTATCACAAAATCTTTGTATGCCAATACAGCGCATGATAAAAGTTTTGGCATCATCTTTAACATTCTTTCATATCTATAAAAATAATACTTAAAAAATAATTACTACAAAATTAAAATTAACGACGGTACATAATGGAGCCTCAACAAATTATTAAAATTATATAAATATCTAGAATAAAAAATAAATAACCAATTTAAACTTGAGTGGATTAACCAGTAAACCAAATCATAAAATACATATTCCGAAAAAGTTTAGATCAAAATCGAAAAAAATCTATTTTTCACTTTTGACTCCTTTACTTAGATAAGATGAAACAATTTGGCAATTCTATTTTCAGTTACTTCATGTCATTCTCACTTCATATTTATCTTTGAATTAAAATTTAACAGTTTTTAAAAAATATTACTAATTAAAACAATTCCATTCATCATGTAAGTTATTCAAAATAATTTTATATGCTATAAAAATCAATCATATGGAAATTAGTGATCTAAATAAACATTTATCATTTTCTATAAAAAAAATTAAATACTATTTTTTTTTCACGTTTAGCTTGAATTGAAGCATTAAAAATTGAATTTCATCAGTATAATGGTTGGTTCTAACACTAAACTGCTCTAACAGAATAGAATAAGCACTTTGACCAAACTGATCTGAGCATAAACTTGATATAAGTTTCTTATCCATGCATAAACATGTTTTCAATTACACACAATTCATATAAACAAAGTTTTTTTTTTTTTTCTTTTTCTCTGAGGGTGACAATAGACAGTGTTACCCCACCTTACAAGAGCAAAACTCCAACATAGTAATTTCCTAGTATCATTGCACAGTACAAGGAAAAACAAACAAGTAATAAAGAAAGCGAACATGGTCAAACACAAAACAGTGAGATTGTTATTACTCATTGGATTTAATTATATGGGAATACACTTATTATACAATTTATTACTATTTATTACTGCTACAATTTTTGAATAAAAAGAAGAAGAGAGAGAATGGGTGTGTGCGTTTCCTGAGCTAGCTTTTAAGGGATTGTTGGCAATTAACAAAAGCAGAACCAAAACAACTGTCCATGGCAGTGGCTTGCGAGTAACACATGATTTTGCCTATGGAAAAAGGTAATGCACAGCACAGGACAACACAGAGGGTAATAGTAGTACCCCAAAAAGTAAAAGGGTGGGTCATGAGATGAGGTGAATTTCACAGCAAAGAAAGGAAATCAAACTCATTCCCACCGCATAGAGATCTATTCTCTGCAGCAAAAGTAAAAAGCTTTGCAAGCAACAAAACCACCCCAACTCCTAAATCCAGAAAAAGACCATTTCTTTACATCTTCCATGACCTGGGTAAGGTTTGTCTCTGGGTGAACCAGACAAACATTTCCTCACTCTGCATACCCTTTAGCACTTCTCGCTTCACATACAAAATCTGACCCATTTTCTGTCTCTCTCTTCCTCTCTCTCTGATACATCTCTTTCTGCCAGCTCTTTGTACCAGCATGTCATTGCAAGTTAAGTGTTTTTGCTGGTCCCGGAGTGAAATCTTTGGTTTTTCATCCCTTCCCTAGAAATGAACTTGAGGGAAAGTGGTGAAAGAGGGTGAATAGCAGTGCTCTATAGTTCTCTTTCTGGTTGGTGCTACCTACATTTGTGTGGCTTTTTGTACTTTGTGTACTTCCGCTTCAGAGTTTGTGTTTGCATTCATACTGAAAGATGAGGAAGAATGGATGGCAGCTACCTTATCATCCTCTCCAGGTAAAGTTTTAATTTTTATTATTTTTTACAGGATTTGTTGCTTTTGTTCAGTGGGGCGGTTTGTCATTTTGAGAATATTTTGTTTTTGTGAAGGTGGTGGCTATTGCTGTGTTTTTGGCTCTGGGATTTGCCTTCTATGTATTTTTTGCTCCTTTTGTTGGGAAGAAGATGTACCAGTATGTTGTCATGGGCCTCTACACACCCCTGGTAACCCAATCTTGAACCTTCATCTGCTTTTAGCTCATTTTACTTTATATGAGTGGGTTAGTAGAGGGTGTGATGAGATCTGTGATTGTTGCTTTCTGATTCAAGGTTTTGGTTTCATATGTCTCTGATGTTAATCTCTAATCTGGTTTCCTTTCTGTTCCTTACTTTATATATGCAATATTTATTTAGCGTTTGGTCTTGAATTTAATGTTGTATGGAGCTGTCTGTGCATATCTTATGAGAGGCTATTTGAACCCTTGTTATATACCCGTAATTAAATTATCTTCCCAATTATTGAATTGATTTTTGATAATTAAGGCTTTAAACTGTGCTGGCTTTCATTATTGTTTTTGATGTCAAACAAGGCACACGTATGTGTGTTCGGAAATTATTCTCCAAATTCAAACATGTTTGAGATTTTTAAATCCAAGATAGCACTGAATATTTTTTTATCACATTCCTTTTTTGGCCTTCTTGTTAATTCTGGCAATCACCCTCCTCTTTGGAGGGATGTTGATACAAGTAAAGTTACTGAGCACGCCCTTGGTCAAAACTGGGACATATTCATGGAAGCTACCATGAACTTGCTACTTAAAGAGGGTGGCACTGAATTTTGCAATAGCGTCCACATTCTGGTTAAATGTACAACCAGTCAGTGTCTGAATATGGGTGACAATTTGCTACAGAGTTGTCTTCCTGTCTCTGCAATGTGGAAATTGGAACTATTATGCATGATTTCTGATGACACAGTGATCAATGACTGAGATAGCTATGTTTGCTAGTCATTATGGCAACTGTTAAATCATTAGCATTGTCTTGAGCTTTTCAGTTTAAGATTTTAAGAGAAAAACATGGGAGCAATGCGCAAACATTATGATGCTAATACTAGTTTTTTGAATTTTGAGAGCTATTCAAATTAATAGTCATCCAAAGGCTGTTGGAACATAGCATGACACTGTCCAGTTGCAACTTGCAGGTGGTTTTGTTTGGAGATTATTGCCAATAATGGTTTAGGTACTCTCTTGAGAGTTTGGGATTTGCATTTAAGTAATAGCTGAGCTTGCTTAGAACTTTGATGAAAGCTGTTTCAAGATCATTCTGTAAAACTTTTCGGTAAAATGAATTGTTGTAAAAAATCCATGAACACTAGCTGCAATAAAATATTTGCATTTAGTTGAGTAATTTGCATCAAACACTTAGTTGGCAAAATGGATTGGCAAACATCTGGTTTCTGTGCGCTATTTGAATGATTATTTTTGACATTATTATATGACATCATTTGATTTGATCAATGTTGCCTACCTCACATATGGCCTTTTTAGGACTGCTAACTTCTACAGAGCTTGTATTATTCTATATGTGGGTCAATATTTCTGGCTTTGTGTGTGTTTGGAATATGCTTAACCAATATTGAGTGGCAAATTGTTATTTTGATATTAATTGTATCTACTTATAAAAAATGGAAACTATCTATGTATTTATCTTAAACTGCACGAAGGACATTATCATGTTCAATAACACCACTCTTCTTGCCAGATTACATGTGTCTTTGCACTGTACATTTGGTGTGCAGCATCTGATCCTGCAGATCCTGGTGTTTTCAAGTCCAAAAAATATCTTAAAATTCCTGATAGCAAACAGCTTGATGGGCTCAAGAGTTCTAAACTAGGAGGGGAATCAGCTTCATCAATGCATGATGGGAATGCTTCAACCGTTGGTCCAAAATCGATGGAAAAGGAAGAATTGGGAACTGAAGCTAGTTTTAAAGATGCTGCTATTTCCGCAGAGAAGAAAAGTGCATCATCTTCACCTTCTTCTTCATGTCTCCTATTGGTTTGCTCTCCTTGTGCTTATATCTGTGGCTGCTCAAGTTCAAGTAAGGAATCTTGTGATCAACAAGCAAGTGAAGATGGCATGTTCTATTGCAGTTTGTGTGAAGTTGAGGTGAGCAGAAGCATTTTGACTGAAAACCTTAGGTCCTCCATGCTTATTGTATCAGTTCCGTCTGAAATATGTTGCCACTAGGGGAGAACATATAATTTCATGTTAACAGTCCTGCAAGCTGAACTCAGATATACCACACGTTTATTCCTCTAATACTTAAAAATTTCATTTGTCTTACAAATTTGTGCTCATCTTGAAATGCATATGTTTATAGCATTACATGAATGCTTGGAGGTTTCATTCTGTCAATTTTGGTAATGAAAAGAGTTAAACCATTGAGGAATGCTGTTGTTACAGGTCTTCAAGTACAGCAAGCACTGTAGGGTCTGTGACAAGTGTGTTGATCGCTTTGATCATCATTGCAGAGTATGATAATCTAAGATCTATTTTTTTGCTTATCAGTTGATGTCTATCTCTGAAAGGACTGTTGCTTCTTGGATTTTGTAGTGGCTCAACAACTGTATTGGGAAAAGGAACTACAGAAAATTTTTCACCCTTATGGTTGCTGCTCTCCTCTTGGTAAGAAAAATTGTCTGCCTATACCTTTCTTGCCATTCACATGTTTAAATGTTGCATTACATAAACTCTGCAACTATGAATAAAGTATAAACCATACCCTACCTTGGCCATATTATTCAAGAATAATTCTGCACCAGATCACCAGCATTCCAGAATCCTTTATTTGCCAAATACTATTCCTTCACGACTTTGTGACTGCCTTAGTGCCCCATTGTACTGGAACTGGACAAGGAGATGAGATCTTAGTCAGCAAAACTTGATAACTTTTGCATGATCTTGAAACCAAGAAACATGCTTATCTATTTTGTTTCCCTAGTTTCCGTGTCAAATACCTGATATTCATACTATCAAGTGTCAAAAGTTGAACTGTCCTACTGTCCTAAAGCCCAACTTGTTGGAAGCAACATGCCAAAACCTGAAGAAAACCCCAGAGTAAGCATTTTTAATTTCCTAGTCATTTTCATTTTGATTAACTATTGACAGGTATGTGCACCTTGGGCTTGGGATTGCAGCTTATACTTCAGTGGTTGACTGGGATACTTGTGCTTATCTGCTGTTTTGTTGAGAAGAAGAAATTTTCTGTGGATATCTCCACCAAGTTAGGGAGCAGTTTCTCTCTTGTTCCCTTTGTCATTGTTGTGGTGAGCATTTTGCTTACATTCGTGGTGCATATTATGTGGTTACTATGCACGCTAAATATTTATTCTTTTGTTCTGTAGTTGATTTGTTCTTCAGCTTCTTTCTCTCCGGTGTTCTTTTATTCTTATTCATGACAAACCTCTTCTTTTCACAGGCAGTCTGCACCATTTTGGCTATGATTGCTACCTTACCCCTTGTGCAGCTGTTTTTCTTTCACATTCTTCTCATTAAAAAGGTAAGCTAGGCAATTGTATAAATTTTCTTCCCAAAGGCCTTAGTATGTTTTCCTTGATGCAAATTCATCCCATTTTGAAACAACAAAGATTTTTAGTACTAAATATAATGATTATTATCATTCGACTATGCAGGGAATCAGCACATATGATTACATCATAGCTTTGAGGGAGCAGGAGCAGGAGCAGCAAATTGGAGGTCAGCAGAGTCCGCAAATGTCACCTGTTAGCTCACTTACTGGATTGAGCAGTGCAAGCTCCTTTACTACTTTCCATCGTGGTGCATGGTGTACACCGCCACGGCTGTTCCTTGAAGATCAGGTAACATTTTCATATCACTACTGCTATTAGTATATTTTATATTTCTGTATTTTACATTAGGACCTCTGAATGGAATTCCTTATGAGGTTTTCCATTTACAGCACTGGTACATAATGCGTCAATTTTGTGTATACCTGGCATCTATGATGCATGAATGCTATGTGTGTATTGGATATGAGGTTTATTTGATATGACTATATGCTTATTTTGAAAATAACAAGATACTGACATATATATAGAAATTCTTAAAACATAGTGAATATATAATTGCAATTGTGGATCCGAATTATCACATTTCTTGGACATTGTCAAAATAACAAAGTATAAGTTACTTTAATCATAAAAGTATAAGCGTTTCATACATTTGAAGCATCAATGAAGAATATATACATATTGGATTTGTGACAAATTGAAGGATAGGTGCATCAAAATCTGACATCATTTGAATGAGTGACTTAATTATTGAAAATTGTTACTGAATAAAACATAAAAGTTCAGTGATATTAATGAAGGGGAATGAAATATTTTCTTAAACCTATCAAATTGGCTATGTTCAAGATGTGTAGTTAGTTATAGGAGAATTCCGTAGATGTGATGGTTTGCATTATGCAGTTTGATGTAGTGCCCCCAGAAACAGCATCTGTAAGCTCTTTGGGAAAGAAGACAGCAAGAGACGAGCCGGTTAAGAAAAAGAATCCTGGAGCAATCAAAATCAGTCCATGGACGCTGGCACGGTTGAATGCTGAAGAGGTTTCCAAGGCTGCAGCAGAAGCAAGGAAAAAATCGAAAATTCTTCAGCCTGTGACAAGACACAACAATGAGCCTTTCAGGCTGGAACCAGACCACAACTCCGGCAGCAGCGGCCGGCGTATGAGCCCCAGGGTTGAGACCAACAGACGACGGGCAGGCAAACGGATTCGCCTACCAGCGGATTTGCCTATGGAGGCCATACCAAAATTTTCTTCCAGCAACATCATTGCCAAAGGATTCAGTGGAACATCTAGTTTAGCACCTCTGCAGCTGGAGGCACGTGGTGTGTTTCAAGCAAGTCAGGCTGTGTCAAGCTCAGGTGGGATTGTTGCTTCATCGCCCGAAAGCAGTTTAGACTCGCCGGACATTCACCCGTTTCGGGTGTCTTCAACTGAAGCCGAAGAGGCAAGAAGGCTTGCCAGTCTTTCTGCCATTGGTGGTGCAAACCTGAAGGGAATCCCTTTGTCAAGGTCAACCAGTGATGGGTATGAGGCCTCTGGTGGGGAAGATAGTGACAGGGTTCCCAGCAGGGTTGTTCAGAGGTCCACAAATTGGACTAATCTGCTGTTCAGTGGTGATCAAGAGGAGAGAGCTTTTGATCCAAAACCATCATCTAGCCTGGTTCATAGTAGAAAGTTGTGACCAATTTGGGTGTTGATTAATTAGAAAAAACTATTTTAAGATTATATTGATGGGAATTGTTGATTCTTTGATTTGTGAGCCCAAAGGTACTTCAACTTCAACATCCCTTAACCCTCACCTTGAGGTTGAATTGATGCTCCTCAGAGTTTTGGTGGTAGGCTAAGTGGGAAACTAAGTGGAAACCCATGTACAAAGTTTTAGGTCACAGTAACTCATGAGCTCGAGCTTCCCAATCAATACATTGTTTTGTGATCCCTATTTTCATAAAAGTTTTCTCAGCCTAGTCCTCTCATAAATTAAGTTGTTTTCATATTTTTTTAACTTGCAAGTTCAAATCAACTTATTTACTTGTGTTTTTATAGACCATATCACTAAACTTTTCTGGAAAAATAATTTGAAGATGAGATTGAAACAATTTTAATGGATGGGAATTGGTTAAGTGTTTACTGCATTGTATATTCCGAATTTCCACATGATTTTTCCAACTTTATTATCTTTTTTACAGACAACGTTCTTCGAAGTTTGAATAACTCGATCATTAATGTTGTCTACATCGCTTAGAAATTTGAATAACTCGATCATTAATATTGTCTAAATTGTGAGTTCTTTTCTTACGGTCTGTTTGGGTAAACCTATGTACAAAAACTTACAATAGAAGAACTTATCTAAAAGCTCTTTAATGTGAAAAACTTCTTTTAGGTATTGTATTATTTAGATAATACCTATTTGTACCTGTGTACAAGAGAGCTTATTGAACAAGGAGTGTTTGGATAGAATTGCAATAGTGCTTTTTTTATTATTAAAATAACCAAAATTGTCATAACAATTTGAAAAGTAATGTTCGGCCTCCAAATTTAAGATGTGATTTTTTTTTAACCTTTTTGATTAATGTTTATCTTTTCATTTTAACTTTTGCATTTAATTTAATTTTTACACTTTTGGTAAACATACATCTACATTATTTTTTATAAAACATAACTTGATTCATTTCTATGAATCTATACATCCAAATAGATAAACGTTTTATCACTCACATGCTCATTAATCATTTGATTGTTTTGTACACATCTATAATTTGAAACATACAATACAAACACGTCATCCAATATGAATTATGCACATGTAATCGTCCCATGAATACCTAACCTTGTCCTCCGACTTTCAAACCCAGTGTTTATCAAAGGAAACACATTTTAGTGATGGCATGCCCAAAGACATTCCATGAAAAACTGGTTCAGGTTCAAATTCAACAAAAGAGAGAGCTCAAAACAAGGCAAGTATTTGCTGCTCTAACAAAACTTGAGTAGCCTGGAAGAAATGACCTTCACAAGAAATTTTGTAAAGCTTTCTAGTGAAATTTATCTATTACAACAAGTAAATATTTGACCTCATATGAGGAAGAAATAGGCAGGTTTCAATGGGTGAATGATAAACATTATCGTGAGAGGCAAACATTGAATGTAGTTTAAGTTTACCTCAAAAGTCACCAATCAGCACCAGCACGGGCACTGAATCTCTCCATTGCCTCGGCTTTCTGTTGCTTCACAATTTCGAGTATCTTTGGATTAAAGAAACGATCACGAACATATTTCCTCTCCTCGGCTTGTATCTCCTTGATAGCACTAGGATATGGGTTTGGAGGAGGTCTCTTTCCTTGAAGACGTGCAATTTCCTTCAAACGGCTATATGCTTTCTTCTTTGCTTTCTTCTCTGTCAGATATTCCATCTAAGAAAAACAATAAACTCATTGTTAGAGAAAGAAATTGTAGAGATAAGTTGTTGAGGAAGCAAAGTAGGTTACATACATCAGCTATAGCCATTGCTCGGTCCTCACTAACACCATGGTCTTTCAATTGAAGAACCCTCAAGGCAAAGATACGAGAAGGAGGAGGATCAAAAGCATGAAACCTGTGGAAACACGAATCATGTATCCGAAAGAGCAACAGAGAAAGAAGAATAGGGCGAACATAGGAAACAGAGAGAAGGAAAAAGGAGAATACTTAATGGGGTCATGGTGTTTGGATTCCGGATACTTTTTATAGAACTTCTTCACATACACATCCTCAGGAAGACTGATGGTCGGAATTTTGCCACCAACTGCAGGAAATGTTGCAGGTGGCGCCCTGGTAACACAGTCAAAAATAAAACATCAGACAAATTTGAAAGAAAAATGGAAAAATGAATTGAATCGGAAAAATGAAGAAGAAAAAGAAAGAGATTGATAAGATATGGAAATTAGGAAATGGAAAAGGGAAAAGATGAATCTGAATTAGAAGATTAACTGCTCCATCGCTTTCAGCCATACGGGTTCTGCCTTCGCTAGACCCTTCACCACCTTCCTCGTTCGACAAAGCAAATCTCCCCGCATAAACGACATCGTTTAGCTTCTTGGTGTTGGGTGTTGCAGTGTGGAATATGAATATAGTGAAAGACGAAGGGTTTTAGCAATGCGTTGTCACTGGGTACTATGTAATACAAATATTTACAAATTTTGTATTTGGTTTTTAAAAAAATATGTAGTTATATTTATTATTATTATTTTTAATTTTCTTATTAAGTTTTTGAAATATCTTTGAAACTTTTTAATTATTTTATTTTAACAAGCAATACATATTCTTATAGTATAATGAAATATCTTGTTAATAAATATAATATACTTAGAAGATTAAATAAAATTAAAGAAAAATATTTATTAGAGATTAAATCCAAAATTTCTGAATTTAACAGGAATAACAAATAAATTTAAGCTTTCATTTAATATATTACTAAAATATAATCTCATTGATTAAAACATAAAAAAACATACGAAAAATTAATAGTTAGACTAATATTATTACTTTTTTTGAAAATCTGAACGCTAAAATACACAAATCTAAGGGTGTGTTCGTTTGAAGCGATTTAACTGTTCACACAGTTTTGTGAGCGAGGAATTAAGCTCGTTATGCGTTCGGTTGGAGTGAAATGCGCGGACGGATTTGCGGTGAAATGCGGGATGGTTGCATTGTTCAGTCACCCGCGGTTGTGAAGAGATTTGCGCGGATTGTGAGCGAAATGTCGTGTGTGCCCTCGGTTAAGAAACGCACGAGATTGGTGGAAACACCGGTTACATGTTCGCGTAACCGACCGGTTACGCGATTTCCTATTTATTTTTTTTTCAAGTTTTTTTATAATTATTTAAATATTAATAAAATTAGGTATATTATATTTTTTAATTTATTAAAAATAAATTGATTATAATATTTTCTAATTTATTTTTAATAAATTGATTATTATATTTTCTAATTTATTTTTAATAAATTGATTATTATATTTTGTAATTTATTTTTAATAAATTGATTATTTAGTTTTCTAATTTATTAAAAAAAATTGATTATTTAGTTTTTTTAATTTTTAAACATTAATTTTATAAATTATTCATAATTTTTTTTTCTTTATAAACATTTTTACAATTAAATATAACATTTATAAATAACATTTTATATTACTTTTATAACTAGGGGCATTTTGCTAGTCTTTAATTTATATTAATTAAACTAATTTTTAAAATCTATCACATCAATCAAATCCTACACTAATTCTGACAAACTTTACTTCCAAATCCACTCTCAATTACCCACAAATCCACTCAAAAAAACAACAAAAAAAATTAACCTCAAATCCACTCAAATCCATTCAAATCATCTCCCCCAAATCACTCCAAACGAACACAGCCTAAATCACAAATTAGAAATAAAAAAATTAAAAATAAAAATTATAATTTAAGAATGTAAAAGTGAAATACCTAGGAAAATAGGACCATCCAAGTTTTTCATAAGAATTTCTAAATTAAAAATAATAATTTGTCTACTCACATCATTGTTGAAATACAATGCGGAAATAATCTTATTATTTAATTTATTTTCAATAGTTACATTAATAAGGTCATGAAATTTATTTACGATCTTAGAAGTCTAAATTTAACATTATAATTAAAATTTATGCAATTTCATTGATATATAACATTTTAGAAGAGATATATGCACTGCTCCCTTTCCTTTATGATGAAGTTTTTCTGCAAGTGTATCCACGTCATTAACACCGTTTACATATTGAACACGATTTTATGAGGACAAATTTTAATTTAATAGAAAGTTATTATTTAGATAATCCTGAATCTATGGTAGTAATTGTGATAATTACAAGTGAAAGTATATATAAATTCATAAATTATTTATGATGAATCATAATAATTAGATAACCAAACGATTTCACTTTCTAAATAGTGCCAATATATAAATTTATGATATAATCCTAGTAATATTTTTGGGAGATGCAAGGCTTGTTTTATCTTTGCTGATAGGAAAAGATTTACAATGATTCTTTGTGAAAAACTCAATTTATCTTTTGCTATCATTCAAGGTAAAAAGTTCATACAACATGATGAAATCGATTTCAAGAAGTGAGGGAATTAATTCCGATTGATATTAATATTCAAAATACACATGCATTGTTTGAAGATGAAGACTGAACTCATATTCGATTCTAAAGAGGTGGAATAGATTCTACTTTATGTAGAAGAAAAGATGAAGAACTCGTAATCGGTTACGAGCATAGCGTATTTGGTTCTAATGCAAATGTAACCTATTCCAAAATTTCCTTATTTGATTCCAATGGCATGTACACTTCTGGTTTTGTTATTTTCATGGTTTGTCACCCATTTATTTTGTGTTGCAGGTGGTACATGGTCTAGGAATGTGGAAGAAGCATGAACATGTATCAGAGCAATGTAGCCGAATAGTTAGCGTGTTCAANTCTGTTTATTCATAATTTCATTAGCTTCATCTAGAAGCCTCCTTATCCGCTGAATCTCTTCATCTTTTTGTTTGAGTTCTTTCTCTAGGTTTTCCTTCTCCACAACTGTTGCATCCTTTACTAAGATCACTTCATCCATTATTGGGATTGGGCTCTCCATGTCCATTGCATTCGAGCTCTTTGCCTACGACAGGATTCCACACTCTTCTTCAACATCTTCAGTAAAGAGATTCGTCTCCCCCTTTGTCTTGGACTTGCAATACTTTGCAATATGACCAACCTTGTCATAGTTGTAGCACTTGCTTGATCTACACTTGTTTTCAAGCAAGTCAAAACTCCCTTGCCTCCCATGCTCCCTAGTGTTGTTGTTACCAATCTTGTTGTCATTGGTGCATTTGGCACTACAGGAACTATCATTGTTGGTGTCGACGTTGGTGCTAGCGCATGTGCTGGTGTTGTTGTTCCTTCGCTGTTTCCCACGTTCATGTTCATGTTAGATTCATGTTCATTGACAGAGACACCCTAGATGTGGTGGAGTTTGATAGGAAAATCTCACAATACACACACTCATATATTTTCCTGAAATTGAGTTTCGCTATTCATTGATAATTGAAAGGCTTTAAATAACCATGACACTTATAATATTACGGGGAATAAAAATAAAATATCAACTATCTTAAAAATAAAATCTGCTTAATCTATCATAAAATAATATTGTACCTAGATAAACCGAAAATCATAACTACGTAGGCCTATTTTATCTCTATCAAATCAAACTAAATATTATTATACCCAAAAACTAATAAAATAAGATTTAAACAGAAATTATTAATAAAACCCTAACATTTAAGTTTATCCCAACAAACTCCCCCCATAAACTTAAATTCTTCCTTCCTTCGTTCGATTTTCCATTTGCATCATCCCACTCCGAGTTTGCATCTTCTCTCCAAGATTTTCAGCTCTAGTTCATACAACTCGTTCTTCTTCGCTTTTACCTGGGTTGTTAGACAACCATGCTTATCCTTTAAATACAGTACCTGATTTTTCATAAAAACTGAATTACCTTTTTCAATCATCTGACCCATGCTTAAAATATTGTTCTTCAGCTTCAGAACATAGTAATCATCCCTAATCTCTCTAACTCGTCCATTCTTCTGCATATGTCGGATTGTTCCACGCCCTTTCATGGCCACCTTGGAGTCATCTCCAAAAGACATAAATTTGGTCTCCACCTTGGTGAGTTTATAAAAAAAGTTCTTGTTTCCACACATATGATTGCTTGCCCCAGTATCTAGATACCATACCGAGTTGGTAGAAATCTCATCAACCTTCATCTCTTCTTCATCTTCTTCTTCCCTATTTTTATCTCGTTCAAGAACGCTAGATGCTTTCTCTTCCTTTTCAAGAGCTGCCTTCTTCAGCTCCTCAAGCTCAACCCTCTGTTTATTCATAATTTCATTAGCTTCATCTAGAAGCCTCCTTATCCGCTGAATCTCTTCATCTTTTTGTTTGAGTTCTTTCTCTAGGTTTTCCTTCTCCACAACTGTTGCATCCTTTACTAAGATCACTTCATCCATTATTGGGATTGGGCTCTCCATGTCCATTGCATTCGAGCTCTTTGCCTACGACAGGATTCCACACTCTTCTTCAACATCTTCAGTAAAGAGATTCGTCTCCCCCTTTGTCTTGGACTTGCAATACTTTGCAATATGACCAACCTTGTCATAGTTGTAGCACTTGCTTGATCTACACTTGTTTTCAAGCAAGTCAAAACTCCCTTGCCTCCCATGCTCCCTAGTGTTGTTGTTACCAATCTTGTTGTCATTGGTGCATTTGGCACTACAGGAACTATCATTGTTGGTGTCGACGTTGGTGCTAGCGCATGTGCTGGTGTTGTTGTTCCTTCGCTGTTTCCCACGTTCATGTTCATGTTAGATTCATGTTCATTGACAGAGACACCCTAGATGTGGTGGAGTTTGATAGGAAAATCTCACAATACACACACTCATATATTTTCCTGAAATTGAGTTTCGCTATTCATTGATAATTGAAAGGCTTTAAATAACCATGACACTTATAATATTACGGGGAATAAAAATAAAATATCAACTATCTTAAAAATAAAATCTGCTTAATCTATCATAAAATAATATTGTACCTAGATAAACCGAAAATCATAACTACGTAGGCCTATTTTATCTCTATCAAATCAAACTAAATATTATTATACCCAAAAACTAATAAAATAAGATTTAAACAGAAATTATTAATAAAACCCTAACATTTAAGTTTATCCCAACAAACTCCCCCCATAAACTTAAATTCTTCCTTCCTTCGTTCGATTTTCCATTTGCATCATCCCACTCCGAGTTTGCATCTTCTCTCCAAGATTTTCAGCTCTAGTTCATACAACTCGTTCTTCTTCGCTTTTACCTGGGTTGTTAGACAACCATGCTTATCCTTTAAATACAGTACCTGATTTTTCATAAAAACTGAATTACCTTTTTCAATCATCTGACCCATGCTTAAAATATTGTTCTTCAGCTTCAGAACATAGTAATCATCCCTAATCTCTCTAACTCGTCCATTCTTCTGCATATGTCGGATTGTTCCACGCCCTTTCATGGCCACCTTGGAGTCATCTCCAAAAGACA